TTCCTTCCTTCCTTCCTTCCTTCCTTCCTTCCTTCCTTCCTTCCTTCCTTCCTTCCTTTTCATTCCCATCTTCCTTCCTTCCTTCCTTCCTTCCTTCCTTCCTTCCTTCCTTCCTTCCTTCCTTCCTTCCCTTCCCTTCCCTTCCCTTCCCTTCCCTTCCCTTCCCTTCCCTTCCCTTCCATGTTGCCCAGTGGTTAGAATGCAGTATTGCAGGCTAATTCTGCCAATTGCCAGGAGTTCGATCCTGAATGCCTCAAGGTTGACTCAGCCTTCCATGCTTCTGAGGTGGGTCAAAAAAGGACCCAGATTGTTGGGGGCAACAGGCTGATTCTGTAAACCGCTTAGAGAGGGCTGTAAAGCACTGCAAAGTGGTATATAAGTTCTATTGCTAAGCCAGGAGCGGTGAATTCCAGCCCGTGGCCAGTACTAACCACATTCTAGGCCCGGCCTCCCTGATTTTTGAAGATTGATGGATAGAAAAAATCAGTTTGGAGACAGCTAAGGGGTGCTATCAGAAAGTGTCTGCCATGGTTGGAATACTAAATAAAAAAACAACCATTTTGCAGAAATAAAACTTGGAGATAACTTTCTTTTTTGGAGAAATGGGTGCATTTCCAGATGGATTGCTTAGGGTATCTCAGGATTTTCAAAAGCTTTGCTGAAAAATGCAGCGGATGCGCAGATTAAAGGTGTCCAGGTTCGGCAACTTTAAAACTCGTGGACTTCAACTCCCAGAATCCCCCAGGCAGAAGTTTAAGGATCCCACCGAAACGCACCTGATTGGTGGCCAAGATCTCGCCGAACTGTTTGCGGACATTAAGATGCTCTCGAGCCAGAAGAACTGAAGCATAGGCAGCCCCCAAGGAACAGGATGCTGGAGAAGAAACCAAACACAGCCTCTTAACCCCAGATTCCATCCGACTCTGGTCGGTACCCAGGGGTCAGCTGATACCAGTTCACCCCAGTTTGGGCGAACCGGTACCGAACATGTAGCTTAATTTTATGGCCAGTCAGTGACCGGCAAATCCCAGCCCTGGCTGGCCCTGCCTACACCTCCCCTCCCAGGAGTCCCCATGTGGCCCATTTTGGATCCCAGGTAACTACAAGGCCCCCATGGAGGCTCCAGGCGGCTTGAAACGGGTCCATTTCTGACTTCCGCAGAGCCTCCTGAGCCCGGGGAGGCCATTTTCCCTTCCTGGAGGCTCGAGGAAAGCCTCCGGAACCCGGGGAGGGCACAAACACACCCCCTCACAGTGCAGGAGGCTGACTAGGCCACGCCCACCATGGCCACGCCCACCCAGCAACCGGGCAGAGAACTGGTTGCTAAATTTTTTGAAGCCCACCTGTCAAGGCTCCAACATGCATCCCCGTTCAAATCGTAAGTCTCTAGCTGCATTTCTCGTAGTAAAAAAGATTGATTTATTAGGAGTTGACATGTCGGCGTTTCCTGGTTGCAGCCGACTCTGACACATCCTTCATTTGCCCCTTGATCCTGGCCTTCCCCCCACCCCCCGGATGTATATTCTCCAATGAGAGAGATCCATAGCCAAGAGTCATCAATCATGCTCTCCAGTAATAATCTTGCGCGCCAACAGCTTTGGCTGTCATAGCGACTATCTGAAACATTTAAGGAATGCACTGTTCCCCGCCCCCCGCCCACTCTATTTCTGCTGGCAACTAAAAAGACCAAGGAAGTATTTTTTTAGTTGACACCTCCCGTCAGTACCCCATATATTCCTCCTTTTTTCTTGTGCCATATCTGTCATCGGACGTTGGCGATCCTATTTTCCTTACCAATATTAATTCTCCCGCCGTTGAGGCCCTGCATGGCGATGTTGAACCCGTGGCCTTCCTCTCCTAGCCGGTTGGCTACCGGAACGGCGCAGTCTTCGAAGATGACCGCCCGGGTTGGTTGCGAATTCCAACCTACCTGCGGGAAAAGAGGCAGCCTCTTTGGTGCTCCAGGTGGCCCCTCCCCCACACAACCTGGGACGCACAGGACACAATGCACTGCTTCCTTACTTTCTTCTCTTTTTTGCCAAAACTCAAGCCCGGAGTTCCTTTCTCCAGCACCAGGCAGGAGATGCCCTTCGGGCCTTCCCCGCCTGTGCGGCACATTACCACATAGAGGTCAGCGTCGCCACCACCGCTGATGAAAGCCTGGGAGAAGAGAAACAGAAGTTAAGAGATTAACAGAGTTGGAAGCAGTGGTGGGATTCAAATTTTTTTAACTACCGGTTCTATGGGTGTGGCTTGGTGGGCGTGGCAGGGGAAGGATACTGTAAAATCTCCAGTCAGAGGTAGTATTTGCCGGTTCTCCAAACTACTCAAAATTTCCGCTACCGGTTCTCTAGAACTGGTCCAAATCTTCTGAATACCACTGCTTGCTCCCCATCCCACTAACCTGCTTTCCAGATCCGTTCTCCTGTGCAGGGCAACCAAAGAAGACCCAGTCGATCCGCTGGGACTCAATGGGAGGCAGAGAATAGATGGGATTGGCGGGGCCAGTCAGAGGTGGGATTTGCCGGTTCTCTGAACTACTCAAAATTCCCGCTACCGGTTCTCTAGAACCGGTCAGAACCGGCTGAATACCACCTCTGGTTGGAAGGTACCTTGTAGGTCACCTAATCTAGGGGTGTCTGCGGTGGCACCAGACTGCTAGTGAAAATGGAGCTTGAGGGGGAGGCGCATCCTCCCGGGCTCCGTTTTCGCTGGCAGTGGGCTATCAAAACTAAAACTAAAAACCAAGCAAAAGGAGAAATGTTTCCCCTTCTGCATTTGAGCATGCAAGAAGGGACAGGAAAGGAGAAAGGGAAAGAGGAAAGACAAAGGAAAAGAAGGAAAGAGAGCAAGGAAGGGAAAATAACAAAAGAGGGGAAGAAAGAAGAAGAGGGATGAAAAAGAAAAGGAAGGAAGGAAGGAAGGAAGGAAGGAAGGAAGGAAGGAAGGAAGGAAGGAAGGAAGGAAGGAAGGAAGGAAGGTCTCAGCGAAGTCCTGCCTTAGTACTTGGCCACCACAGGTGCTTCCCTGACATGAGTCCCATGTCAGTGAATCTCTCCTTGTTCGGTGTGTTTTAGCCTCCAGTCCCTTAATCATCCTGGTTGCTCTTAATAAAATAGAATTGGAAAGGACCTTAGAGGTCTTCTAGTCCAACCCCGCCCCCCGGCCACCCAAGCAGGACACCCTACACCATTTCAGACAGATGGCAGTCCAGTCTCTTCTTGAAAGCCTCCAGGGATGAAGCTCCCACAACTTCCAAAGGCAACTTTTGTTCCATTGGCTGATTGTTCTCCCTGTCAGAAAATTCCTCCTTATTTCTATGCTGTATCTCTCCTTGTTCAGCTTCCATCCATTGTTCCTTCTCTGGCTTTTGGGTGCCTTGGAAAATAGCTTGACCCCTTCCTCCTCCTCTCTGGGGCAGCCCCTTAGATATTGGAAGACTGCTCTCCTGTCTCCCCTGGTCCTTCTCTTCCCTAGACTAGCCAGGCCCAATTCCTGCATCAGAGGAGGAGTTGTTGAAAGTGGCTTGCTCTGTTGGTTTCTCTAATGGAGAAACATCAGAAAGGATCCGGTAGCCCCTGTTCCACCTAACCCTTTTCCAGCTAGTCCTCGTCTTACGGCCACAATTGAGCCCAACATTTACGTGGCTAAGCGGGACAGTTGTTCGGTGAATTTTACCTCGTTTTACGACCTCGTTTGGCCATAGTTTAGTTAGTAACATGGTCGTTAAGTGAATCCGGCTTCCCCATTGACTTGGCTGGTCAGCATGTCGCTAAAGGGGACCACGTGACCCCAGGGACACTGCAACCATCATAAATACGAGTCACTTAGCAAGCACCTGATTGCGTGACCATGGGGTTGCTGCTGCAATGATTGTAACTGTGAAAAAGGGTCATAACTGTAAGTCTCTTTTTTTCAGTGCCGTTGTAATTTCGAACTGTCGAACTGAACAAACTGTTGTAAGTCAAGGACTACCTGTATTAAGAGGCACAAGCTGCAGTTCACAAAAAAACGATGCCTTTTAATATAGGGGTTCACTGGAAAAGAGACTTTCAGAATTCTTCACGTTGGTTCTTTGGAAAAGTGTGATGACCCAGAGAGTGTAACACAAACATGACAAAATCCAAAACGTAAATAAATGTCCTTTAATGCCTCCAACTTGGCCCCACTGTTCAATAATACTCAGTTGGGGACAAAACGTGCTCAAAAATAGTCTTCAAAAGAAAGCAATACAGTCCGAACTTAATGAGCAGATAGAGGTGAAATTAAAAACCAAACAAACTACAATGACGAAATCTCCACAACAGAACAAGAGAAGTATTTACCAAATTCAAGGAGATAACAAGGCAGGGTCTGTTGAAGGTAACTTCAGACCAAAATAAAACACGCTTTGTTTCCAGTGTTCGCCAGTACGCAAGTCCAAACTGTTATTCAGTTGTCACACCTGCATCCCATGAAGAGGATCAAGGCCCTCTCCTCCCGAGGAGACCACGTCTCTCCCTTATCCTCTCCTCCCTGCGTGCCCTAGGATGGAGAGGGGATGGGCCTGGGTCCTCCTCTGACTGCCCAGCCGGCCTCTGCCCTTCCCCAGCCTCCTCCACAACCTCCGGAGCCACACTTCCACTCCCTGTCGGCTGTTCCTCCTCTCCCTCAGAGTCAGTCTCCACCAGGGGCATGGCAGAAAAGGGTACCTTGGAGCCGTTGAGGATATACACATCGCCACGTTTCTTGGCTGAAGTTAACAATGAAGCCGCATCGCTTCCGCTTCCTAGTGAGAAAGTGATAATAAACTATATATATATCTATAGAAAAGTGAAATACCCCTCATGCATCATCCCAAAATCTCCAGAACCATAAAGCCTACAAACTTGAAATTTGGCACCTATGTTCCTCTTGGCTTCTACGTGCTCCACTAAGAAAGGATTTTTCAAAATGACCATCAGAGCATTTAGTATTTCCTATATTATCACTATTAACATGCTCTGATGCTAAGGAGTTCTACTCCATCTCCCCACCTGAAAAGAAATCTGTTCCAAATGCAAAACACAAGCAGAGGAGTGTCAGTTTCACTTTTAGTTTCACAGCACCAAGCAGCTTTAGTACAGAACAGTTGAGCTAAGCCACGCCCAGGCTCCTTGCTGTCTCCTTCTTGCTCACACAGCAAATACTCTTTCAGTTTCCAAACAACCCTCAACTCTCTCACACACTGGCAGGATGCTAGCCAGATGAATACCGATGGATGCTGGTAGGCAGAGGCAGAAATTTCCCCCCAACCTTATTTTCCTCCCCCAAAACTAAGCCCGACCATATAGTTTCGTCGTGAAGGACACGTATCGAGCTAGTCCAGAATATTTTCATTAAGCAACTCCTGCCCTGGTCCGCCTTTTCTCTCCCACCAATTCAAAGCTTCCCCCAGTTATCCTCAGTCCCACCCTCCTCCGTCTGAAAGTGGAAGGATCACCTTTAGATTCGAAACCCAGATCTTTACGACTGAACCCTAAAAATCCTGGTGTGGATCCATAGCACAGCTAACATGGGCCGCCCTGGTTTTCCAAGCACCCGGAAGGGATACGGTGGTCTCACCCGGCTCCGTCAAGCAGTAAGAGGCAAATTTTTCCATGCTGCAAAGGGAAGGGCAGAATTTCAGCCTCTGGTCTTCGTTCCCAAAGGTGTCGATCATCCAAGCGCACATGCTGCAGCGGAGGGAGGGAAACCAAACCGTGGGTTATGGAGACGTCAATAACAGGCCCAGTTTGGCGTAGTGGTTTTAAGGCATCAGGTTAGAAACCTTGAAATGGTGAGTTCTAGTCCTGACTTAGGCATAAAAGACAGCTGGGTGATTTGGGGCCAATCATCAGGAGACGGTGAGTTCTAGTCCTGCCTTAGGCATGAAAGACAGCTGGGTGACTTTGAACCAATAACCAGGAGACGGTGAGTTCTAGTCCCGCCTTAGGCATGAAAGACAGCTGGGTGACTTTGAACCAATAACCAGGAGACGGTGAGTTCTAGTCCTGCCTTAGACATAAAAGACAGCTGGGTGATTTTGGGCCAATCATCAGGAGACAGTGAGTTCTAGTCCTGCCTTAGGCATGAAAGACAGCTGGGTGACTTTGAACCAATAACCAGGAGACGGTGAGTTCTAGTCCTGCCTTAGGCATGAAAGACAGCTGGGTGACTTTGAACCAATAACCAGGAGACGGTGAGTTCTAGTCCTGCCTTAGACATAAAAGACAGCTGGGTGATTTTGGGCCAATCATCAGGAGACGGTGAGTTCTAGTCCTGCCTTAGGCATGAAAGCCAGCTGGGTGATTTTGGGCCAATCATCAGGAGACGGTGAGTCCTAGTTTTACCTAAGGAGAACTGATTGGGTATTTCTGGACCAATCACAAGGAGCCTATGAGTTCTAGTCCCACCTTAGGCATGTAAGACAGCTGGGTGCCTTTGGGCCTATCACCAGGGAACGGTGAGTTCTAGTCCCGCCTTAGGCATGAAAGGAGACTGGGTAACTTTGGGCCAATCCCTCTCTCTCAGTCCAACCTACAGGGTTGTTGTAATGAAAAAAAAAATAGGATAAGAAAGGCATATTAGATAAATTCATTGCCTTGAATAACTTACAATGTCATAAAGGCAGGCTAAAAGTCCAATAAATAAAAAAAAAAAACAGATTATAAATGCAGACACCCCCCCCTCCCAAATACTTCCAACTGGGCAATCCCTGGGGTGCTGGGCCCACCCAGAAGGCCCCAAGGGTGAAGTCACAGCAGGAAACTCACTTGTGGATGCTGATGTAAGCCGTGGTGCTGACGCAGCCGGTCGAGAGAGCCTCGAAGATGACCGAGGTGTCAAGCCGAGAGAGCCCAGAGCCCCCCACCTCTGGCTTCACGTAGATGCCCCCAAATCCCAGCCAAGCTGCTTTCCGGAGGGTTTCCACTGGGAATATTTCCTGCCAGTAACAAAGACGAGAGGAAAATGGGATCAGGTCAATTGCAAGAGCTTTATACCCCCTCACTTTTGCAACCTCGTGCGTGCTGCTCAAAAGCATCATGGAATAAACGTTTGAAGTGAAATGGTGAATTGTTATTGGAACAGTTTCCCTGACAATTTTCATCCCAGGGAGAAAGGAAAGACTATAAAAAAACAAAAGGCTCCCTGGTATGGCAGAGATGTAAATAAGAGCAATGTTTGCAGCGTAAAACAATTTCTTCCTTTCTACTTTCTTTCAGATCTGCATTAGCCTCGGGGTGGTTTTGGCCACTTTAAACTGGGGGAGACTTCAACTCCCAGAATCCCCCAGTCAGCAAGGGAATTCTGGGAGTTGAAGCCCACCCATCTTAGCATCCAAGGTTAAGAAACACTGCATTAGCCTTGCAACGAGTAAGAACATTTATTGACTCAGCTTACTATTATTTACACCAGCCTTGTTTAAGTAGGTTTGCAACACCTGTTGTGATCTGGTTAACTTTGATCTTGACAAAAAATTATCTGCTTTGTGCTCGGAAAGGAGACAACTAAGAAATCCCAAAAGTGTAGAATATGGTGGCCCCTCAGAAACATTTCCCCAAGTTACCAGAAATCAGCTTGCATCTTTTTGCCAAGAAAGTAACACAATTATTTGTGTCCTGACAACCTGTAGGACATTTTTCCTTCACTTATGAATCCCATTCGCTTCAGGCAAGCCATCGGTAGTGTCAGCAGACCCAAAGGAGACGGTTAGATTAGATTAAAAGAGTTGGAGGAGACCTGGTAGGTCATCTAGTCGAATGCCCTGCCCAAGCAGGAGACCCTACACCATTTCTGACAAATGGCAGTCCAGTCTCTTCTTGAAAGCCTCCAGTGATGAAGCTCCCACAACTTCCGAAGGAGACTTCTGTTCCATTGGCTGATTGTTCTCCCTGTCAGAAAATTTCTCCTTATTTCCAGGTTGAATCTCTCCTTGTTCAGTTTCCATCCATTATTCCTTGTCTGGCCTTCGGGTGCTTTGGAAAATAGCTTGACCCCCCGCCCCTCCTCTCTGTGGCAGCCCCTCAAATATTGGAAGACTGCTATCCTGTCTCCCCTGGACCTTCTCTTCTCTAGACTAACTAGGCCTAGTTCCTGCAACCGTTCATGATATGTTTTAGCTTCTAGTCCCCTAATAATCTTGGTTGCTCTTCTCTGCACTTTTTCTAAACTCTCAACATCTTTTCTATAGTATAGACCAGGTAGACTCAGGGCTCTCCTGGGCCGGCAGCAATTCTCCAGTATTTATTTAAAATCTATCTGTTAATCCCAGAGAGCTACCCGAGGACGGTTTTCACACAAAGCAAAATGTACTAATATTCAAACACACCCCAAAGTGTTCCTTTTTCAAGGAACAAACTGGCTCAAGAAAAGAATTGCTGGTTGGTTCACTTTTTAACCTTGGCAGGGAAGGCAGGCGACTGGAATTGTACACTGGTCAGCGTGACTTCCTAAGGAGAAAGCGAGAAGGTTTCTCACCTTTTCATCCCACTCAGCCATGCGTGGGGCCATCTCCTTGGCAGCAAAGTCAAAAGCCACCTTTTGAAATTCCTGCTGCTCCTCCGTCAGGCCCACAGCAGCTGGGGAGGCCAGGAGAGAATCAGTTGACAAAGGCGGAAAGCAGGAAGGAAAAAAAAGGGAGTGAGGGAGAAGAGAAACCCCACCTCTTAGGAATTGAGGGAACTTCTTGGATGAGAAGCAAAATGCCAAAGGTGTTTTAGAAAACGAAACACTTTTTGAGACAATCATGACTTGGATGATTGAGAATCTCCAGAGAGAATTCCAAATTCTTTGTTCTTTCACTCCCTCCCTCCCTCCTGTTCTATTCCTTCCTTCCTCCCTGCTCTATTCCTTCCTCCACCCCTCCCTTTCTCATGTTCTATTCCTTCCTTCCTTCCCTCTCTCCCTCCCTCCCTCATGCACTATTCCTTCCTTACCTCCTCGTGCTGCATTCCTCCCTCCCTCCCTCCTTCTTTCCTCCCTCCTTCCCTTCCTCCTGCTCTATTCCTTCCTTCCTCCTTTCCTCCCTCACTCCCTTCCTCAGGCTGCATTCCTCCCTCCTTCCCTTCCTCCTGCTCTATTCCTTCCTTCCTCCTTTCCTCCCCCCCTCTCTTCCTCAGGCTGCAGTCCTCCCTCCCTCCTTCCCTTCCTACTGCTCTATTCCTTCCTTCCTTCCTTCCTTCCTTCCTTCCTTCCTTCCTTCCTTCTTCCTTCCCTCCCTCCACCAAGAAGTTACTTTGAGCTTCTTTCTCACTTGTCTCGCTTTTTACAACGCAGGCAATCTTTTGTGCAAGTTGCCCGTTTAAACCTTCCACCCCAACCTTCCCCAAATCCAGCCCCCTGTCCCTATACAACCAAAACCTGCTTCGGGGGGACCAGATCTGGAGGTTCCCTCCTGGTAAGAGGACATCAAGAGTTAACCCTCCCACTTTGGCCCGAAGTTCAACAGGTTGAAGCAGCCTTTCCGACTACCCTCTCCTGGCTAACTTGGTCCATAGGTTCGAAGCAGGCGGTGGCCCTCCGTCCCTGGGCTAACAGCTGTCAAGCCTCGGTACCCCCCGCAAGCCGGGCACATTCCGCCAAGACGGCCTTCCTCCCAGCCCAACGACCCTTCCCCAACCTGACGCCCTCCAACGTTGGAGGGGTAACCAAGGCCATTAGGGCAGTCAACGGATGATGGGCACTGTAGTCCAATTCAACCAAGGTTGGGAAGGGGGGGCTTCGTGTTAGGGAAAAGGCTGCAGCGGGGCGCTCCTAGCCCCCTGAAAGCACGAACCTGTTGGATTTCCGCCTGCAGAGCTAGGCAAGCCATTTTTGCAATAGTTTTTTATTTTATTTTATTTTGGGAAAGGCAACGAAGGTTTAAGTGTCCTTTTTGCCCCCGCCCCCCCTTCACCCCCCCATCCCCCCCCCCCGGAGCCTTACGGTCGATGCAGGAGGCAACCCCTCTGCGCCCCCAGGCAGAGCCCCGCAGACGAGCCCCCAACCTCAAACAGCCCCTCCAAGCCATATTTGCAAGACGCTTCGCCAGTCCTCTCCGGCTAGGGCGGCCGCACGGCCTTGTGGGTGTTGAAGTCCACGCTCCTCCCGCCGGCTCTCCGTCCCCGACCGGCGAAGCTCTTTCTCCGCCCCCCCAAAAACAAAAAACTACCAATCCCGAAAGCGCTCGCGACGGAGGGAAAAAAGTAGGGGGGGGGGACTTTGCGTTCTGATCTATGGGCGTCTCCGGCTCGGGGCTTGCTGATTGGTTGGAAGGGAAGGGAAGGCGCTGCTCTTAAAGGCACAGCGGCGGTTTTGGGAAGGAGCAGCGGCGCCCCGTCCGGACTCTGCAGGCGGGCCTGGAAAGGGAGGCGGCTGCTGAGGACGGAGAGCAGAGCCGGCCGAGGCGCTTCTTCCCCTTCTTGACGGGCGATTGTCTCTGCAGCATTCACTTACAAGGGAAGCCTCTATTCAACCGAAGGCATGCAGCTTTGCCCTTCCTTCCGCCCACCCAGGCGTCTGTCTGTCTGTCTGTCTGTGATTGTATCTATCGATCATCTATTTATCTATGGTCTCTCTCTCTTTAATCTATCTCTAATCTTCTTCTATACCACTCTCTCTCTATCTGTACCTACCTACCTACCTAACACACTCACTCTCTCTATATAAAATCTGTCTATCTATCATTTATCATCTATCTCTATCTATCGATCGATCGATCTCCCTCTCCCACCCTCCCTTC